CACTCTAAATTTTATTTCTGAGACAACAAACCCCTAACTAAAACAGCCTACTGAAATTACAGACTTTTCGAGATTAAAGTTTACATTCATACACCAGAACCGCAATCTCGCAAGTTCTACAGCCTTACAAGGACACGTTTGACATAGAATAGTGTCTGTTTTTCTGCAGCTGTAAGGTAAGCACCATCTTCTGCTTTTCCTCTCCCTGAAATTTCTTTCACCAACTGGAAGGCCTGGAGTTTTTAAAGGCAAGTGTTGAAATTACTTTAGTTAAAGCCAAGAATAGGATTACTTACAAAATGAATATGAGCCATGTAACATTACAATAGTGCTGCTGCTTAGATACACATCTTATATTTGAATCTGCATGATATCTCATCTCCTGTACACATGATTTCCTTTTACATTGTGCACTAGTGTTTAAAATTCGGGTTAGAGAGTTTGTAATTCACCTCTTTTTGGTTACAAATTATACAACATTTTTAAAACATTATTGCTAAATATGAAATTTATTTCTAGAATCACCTCAAATCCTTATAAAACGTTTCCCCTAAATTCCCATGTCAGCGTGCTCTCTGTTTTCAGTGTACTTCCTCTTGTCAACTTCCTTTTGGATGTGCTTTATCATGGAGGACTAACGCTTCGTCAGGAACATAGATTGAATACCTCTAGTTGTTAAGATCACTACCCCTCCTCTGCTAGCTAACGTGAAATCTAGAGCCCTGTGAACCTATAGGACTGTATTTCTAATCATCAATGGCTCTCAGCAGTAAACAGGCTTAGGGAATGGTGAAATAGTTACTGACTAGTTCTAAAGGGTTAACCGGGTCTTTGAGCTCTCCGATAGGACATGTGACTTCATTTCTTAGGAACTTTATTTCCCCAAATCAAGATGCTTCTCTCATGTCAAGGATATTTGTACTTATCCTTCTGTGAGCGTTAGTAAATGATGCATGATGGTGATGACAACCTCCCGTTTGCAAAAGCCATGCCAACTGCGTGACGACCATAGGTATCATAAGGTTCCACAAATGAGAAAGGAGCCTCTATAACTTATCATACCTTCTTCCTTAGAGATGCAAATTTCACCCAGATATATAGTGATATTAAAATCATACCTAATTGTGACTTATTATCCTCTTTATTAGCATGTTCCAGCCTATGGGTTACACAAGCAAAGTAGGGGAGCAAATCTATAGATTGTTGATTTCAGTCTTAAACTTGCTAAGACTTGTAGTGTGACCTAACATATGATCTATGCTGGAGAATGTTCCATGTGCAATGGAGAAGAATGTGTATTCTGTTGCTGTTGAATGGAATGTTCTGTATATATCTGTTAGATCCATTGGTTTAAAGTAGAGTTCAACTCCAACTTTTTTTGGCTGGATTTTCTGGCTGGATATTCTATCTTTTGTTGAAAGCGGGGTATTGAAATCTTCTACTGTTATTGTGTTGTTTTCTATTTCTCCTTTCAGAACCATTAGTTTTGCTTAATATATTTAGGTTTTCAAATGTTGGGTGCATATATGTTTACAATTGTTATATATTCTTGGTAAATTGACCCACTTGTCATTATGTAATGACCTTCTTTGTCTTTTGATAGAGTTTTTGACTTAAAGTCCGTTTGTCTGATATAAGTATAGATACCCCTGCTCTCTTTGGATGGGGCTAGAGACTGTACTCTGTGTTTCAGCAGGGATGCTGTCTGGGCTTCCTCATCAAGTGAGGTTACAGGCTGTGTTCAGAAATTGGGCAAAACTGCAGGCTGCACTCTTCTGTGAGGCAGGACTATAGGTTGGTCTCCACAGCTGGGTGGTACCATAGGCTGGGTTCCAGGGTTGTCCAGGGTCACTTTTAATGCTCCCTGGTCACATCATGCCAGAGGCTATACTTAACAATTGGGCAGGACCTGGCTTGGTTCCCTGAACAAGCATGGCTGTAGGATGGGCTCTGTGGCTGCCTAGATTCTTGGTCAGGCTTCCTGGTTGAGTGGGACTCTAGGCTATACTCAGAAGTTGGGTGGGGCTGTGAACTTGCTCCCTGCCTGGGCAGGGCCATAGAGCAGTCTCCATGGCTGGTATGCCTCTGTGACTGAGGACCTGAATCTATTAGAACTGACACCAAGCTCCCTATCCAGAAGGGGCCACCAGCTTGGCTCTACAAATGGGCAGACCTTCTCATTAGAATCTCTGCTTTGGTGCTGCTGC